GTTTATCAGCTGTAGGAGTTCCCTGGTAGAGTTTTTCGGGTCACTTATGTAGACGATCTTATCATCTGCAAATAGTGAAAGTGGGGTGCAGAACTAAATAGAGAATTCTCAACAGAGGAATCTGAAACGGTTGGAAGACACTTAAGAAAGTGCTCAAAATCCTTGGCCATCAGAGAAATGCAACTCAAAACACCTCTGAGATACCATCTTACACCGACCAGAATGGCTAAAATCAAAAACACCAATGGCAATCTATGCTGGAGAGGACGTGGGGAAAAAGGAACAATCCTCCATTGCTGGGGGGAGGGCAAACTTCTAAGACCACTTTGGAAATCAGTATGGTGGTTGCTCAGAAAAATGGGAATCAGTCTACCTCCAGCAATTCCTCTCTTGGGCATATACCCAAATAATGCAAATCCATGCAACAAGGACACATGTTCAACCATGTTCATAGCAGCATTGTTTGTAATAGCCAAAACCTGGAAGCAACCTAGATGCCCCTCAAGTGAAAAATGGATAGCGAAAATGTGGTACATTTATACAATGGAGTACTACTCAGCAGAAAAAAGCAATGGAATCTTGAAATTCGCAGGCAAATGGAAGAAACCATCCTGAGGGAGGTAACCCAGTCACAAAAAGACAAACATGGTATGTACTCACTCATATATGAATTTTAGACACAGAGCAAAGGATTACCAGCCTACAGTCCTCTTCACCAAAGAAACTAGGAAACAAGAAGGACTCTAAGGGAAAAATGCATGGACCCCTGAGAATGGGAAGGGGTGGGATATCCTGAGCTAATTGGGAGCATAAGGGTAGGAGAGAGGGAGCTTCCAGAATGAAAGAAGGAGAAGAGGAGGGGAGAGGAGGAAATGGCATAGCAGAAATATTGAGTTGGGGGAAGAATAGAGGAGAGCAGGATGAGAGATAACCATATCAGAGGGAGCCATTATAGGTCCGAGGAGAGATCTGGCACTAGGGAGATTTCCAGAGATCTACAAGGATAACACGATCTGACAATCTGGGCAATGGTGGAGAGGATAGCCTAAATGCCCTTCCCCTATGATGAGACTGATGACTACTTTTTATGCCATCCTAGAGCCTCCAGTCAGTGGCTGATGGAAGCAGAGGCAGACACCCGCAGATATACACTGAACTGAACTCTGGAACCTAGTTGCAGAGAGGGAGGAATGAAGATCAAAGGGGTCGGTACCAGGCTGGTGAAACCCACAGAAACAGCTGGCCTGAACAAGGGGGAGCACATGACCCCAGCCTGCTGCCTGGGAGGCCAGCACGGGACTGATTCAGAACCCTGAAGTAGTGGATTAGTATTTTTCCCTGGTGTAAGAAGGGACGTTGAGAGCTCATCCCACGTCTCGGTCTGGACACATGGGGGAGGGCCTAGGCCTGGCCCAGGATGATGTGGTGGACTTTGGGGAGCTCCCGTCGAAGGCCCTACCCAGCCTGGGGAGTGGAGGGTGGATGGGGTAGGGGGCAGCTTGGGGGAAGGGTTGAGGGGGGAGGGAAGGGAGAGGGAGGAGGGATTGACATGTGAAGAAGCTTGTTCCTAATTTGAACTAATAAAAAAAATACCAAAAAAACCCTCAACATCTTATCATGAAGAAAACAAAATTAGGTATAAAAGAACTTAGCACAATAAAGCCCATATATGACAGGCCATAGACAACATCATACTCAGGAGCAAAAAGACATCTATCTGCATGCACATGTTTACTGCAGTACTAGTCACAATAGCTAAGATATGGAAATTAATCTAAGTGTCCACTGATGGATGGATAAAGAAAACACAGACACTAAAATAATACTCATTCATAAAAATAATAGAAATTTTTCCATTTTTACCAACATGGACAGAACTATAGGACAATGCATTAAGAGAAATAAGGCACAGGAAAAAATATATTTTCTCACTTATATGTGCTGTGGAATAATCCTTCTGAACACTGGGAACATATATTATTCTCATTGGTTAAGAACTGACTGGCTGGCAGCCAGGCAGGAAGTATAGGCGGGACAACCAAACTGAGAATGCTGGAAGGAAGAAAGGCAGGGTTAGAAGAGTCACCAGGAGGCACAGAGGGAGCAAGACATGCTGGAGGACAGGTAAAGCCATGAGCCATGTGGCAACACATAGATTAATAAAAACAGGTTAATTTAAGTTGTAAGAGATAATAAGTAATAATCCTGAGCTATTGAGCAAGCATTTGTAATAACTATAAACTTCAGTGTGTTTATTTGGTAGCTGCTGGAAGGACAGAAACTTCCACCAACAGATACTAAAATAATTATTTATAAAAATGACTGAAATTTTGCCATTTTCACCAACAAGGATAGGGTAACAGGAAAATGCATTAAGGGAAATAAGGCACAGGAAAAAATATGTTTTCTCACTTATACATAGTAGCTAAGAATCTGCTATCACAGAAGTATACAACACAATCGTGTATATCAGAGTCTAAGAAGGTAGGGGAGTCATTAATGGGTGTCAGAGTGTGACGGGACAAGAGAGACCACTTTAAATGTTTTGCAGCACAGAAGACTATGGTTGACCACGATGCCTCAAACATTTCAACATACTACAGAAGAGTTTGAATACTCTCAGCACACACAAAAAAATGAGTATCTGCCTCAGATGATGGATACACTAATTACTCTGGTCTAATCACTACACATTATTAACACCAACATGACAGACACAGTGCTGTTATAAATTACTACATGTCAATTAAAATTTTAAATATGTTTAAAAGATAGGAAACTAGTAAAATAGTATTAGTTTAAAATTTAATTTTTCTTTGAAAGGAAAATACATATAGATGTCCTGACAGCACATACAAACATCTAAAACTAAGCTCAGAACAAATTCATATTTGGAATTTTCAAAAGTTTCACAAACTATTTTTAGAACTTGATGTTCATTACTGCTACTACTACTACCAATGATAATGATAATAATCAATAAAAATAATGGCAAGAACTTCAAACTAATGAACTAACATTTGCTCAAGTTTTCTACAATAAGCTTCAGACCTGCAGGTCTCTAAAAATCTATTATCCGTTTTTGCCAATACCAGTAGGTCAGACACACACAGCCAGGGGTGACTCAGTGTGGAACACAGATATGGGTTACATATCTCAAAAACTTTTACACGCTCTTCTCAATGAGTTATAACTTTCTTCAGGGTGATAGAATTCTCCCCTGAGGTTGTCCAGACATCTACAGTGAGTGCACACGAGCTCACCACTACACCTCCCAGACATCTACAGTGAGTGCACACGAGCTCACCACTACACCTCCCAGACATCTACAGTGAGTGCACACGAGCTCACCACTACACTTTCCAGACATCTACAGTGAGTGCACACGAGCTCACACTACACCTCCCAGACATCTACAGTGAGTGCACACGAGCTCACCACTACACCTCCCAGACATCTACAGTGAGTGCACACGAGCTCACCACTACACTTTCCAGGAGTCCACATTTCATCTCATGCTAATGTGAGCAAATACATGAAGGCTCCTACTTATTATGGTTATTTTAGAATAAATAATATTCCCATAATGGTTACCTAAACAAAGTATGGCTTCAAGTGTCAAATCAATAATTAGTTCTTATTTTTAACAATTAACCATAGTTGATCAAACACCCTAAGTCCAGAGACTATTAAACGTAAAACAGAGTTTTTGAGAGATCACCTGTGGAGAACCACAGAACTCAAAATTACAGAACATGGAGAGTAAACCTGGGCAAATTTTGGAACAACAACAACAACAAAAACAAAAAACAAAAAACAAAAAAACAAAAAAAAAAACCCTAATAAACTCTACCAATATAAGGGACACATTATCACCAATGTCACCATTTCAAAAATATGACAAATTCTAACATGTAAAAAGCAAATTAGCAGAAAATATGTAATGCTTCCTAATGTCACGACATCTCCCGCCTGCACGGCTATTGGATCCTCAACTCTTTACTCAACCTCAAGAGTAAAAGACAAGGAAGAGTGGTTCCTCTGTGACCCTTGCCGTGTAGCACTGCAGACAGTTCAGGGCAACCAGTCTTTAATTTAAACTTTCAAGCACTTCATTACAGTGCAGCAACTGCTGCACTACGACCTCCCGGCCTACTGCAAAGATTCTGGTTTCATTTGCCTCTGATAAGAATCCCAAAACATACAGGGCAATGCTTCCCTGTAGCACGAGTTCTAATAGGTCTTACTAGTAAAAAGCTGGAGTCAGATATTGGGGGGTGAGAGATGAAAAATGAGAGAAGTAGAGTAGCCAGCTACTAGAGTTCTTACCTCTACAAAATCTTCAGACCAAAAAGAGGCCAAGCTCCTATCTTCCTCCCACCTTATATTCCTCTCTCCGCCCAGCCATATCACTTCCTGTCTGTCTGTACAGACCTCCAGACCTCTATGGTTAACCAGTGGCTAGTTCTGCCCTCAGATCTTCAGGCAAGCTTTATTTGTTAGAGTACAACCAAGATATCACCACAATTACCAAAACAGGATACAGCTCTAAAAACATTCACTATACCTTCTTCTAATAAAGAGACTATAGGAATTATGTTTTCATGTACATCTTTTGCTTTATCATTAAGCAAAATGGAAATTTACCAAAGTATCGGTTAAATTATAAAAAGGAAAACACAACAAAAACAATAAATTTTACTTAATGACCACAACTAGGTTTAACCGCATCATTCTACCATATCTATCTATAGGCATAAATGCTAGATACATGTACTAAGCCATAATACAGTGAAAAAACTGAAGATAGTACATGTATTTCAACATATATGTATGTCAGTACCAACAAACCAATTATAGGATCACATCTCAACAAAAATCCTAAACTAGAAAATGTTTCAAAGTAAACTTATTCTTAAAAATGATCTTAAAAATAAAACAAATGAATGGCATCATTAGTTCACTTGCTCCTCTAGCCAAAGCCCATATGGACAATTTGCATGTAAAGTGACACTAGATAAGACTTCTCCAGTTCGTTAAATCAATGAGGACAACAGGCGTCCCACCTGTAGCTGTTTTTCTGGTTGATATCATCTGATGTGTCTTCAACTTCTTTAGCGGAAAATTCTAAAAGATGCCTCCTTTGATTTGCAGGGTTCACACTGGGCTTCACTCTCCTGGAATCCTGTTCCAGCATGCTAAAAACAAAACAAAACAAAAATAAAGCAACAACAACAAAAACTGGAGCTGTGAAAATTACAATGGCACACATGTATGCTACGTGTAGCTAGAAAGCAAGCAAGATTTGCCTTGTAGTTCCATACATACAGCAAAAAGTCATGGCCTAGAAACAGGTCAAAACTCTGATGTCCTTACATACTCTAGGCCTGGTAAACTGTACATAGCCAACAACTTAAAAATAATTTTTATAAGTATAAAAGTCCATTTTATAAACTGATTAAATAAAGCAGTGTTTTACTTGTTTTTAAAGCCCTATAATTACATTATATAAGTTGCTGTTGCTGATATTCAAGTGTTTCCCAAAGACCTATACGCTGAAAGCTTGGACCCATTAGGAGGTGGTGGAACCATTAGGAGGGTCTACTGGATGAAGTCAGAACATTGAGTCAAGCTTTTGAAGGGGATACCGAGAACCTAGCCCCTCCTGTGCCCCTGTCTCTCTCTTCCCAGCAGCCATGATAAGCAGGCTTCTTCCACTGCGTGTCTCTGATAATGTTCTTTTGCCACTATAAGCCCAAAGCAACTGGGCCAAGTGACCATGGCCTAAAACCTCTGAAATCAACAGCCAAATAAACCTTTCTGTTTTCAACGTGATTTATCTCAAGTATTTATTACAGTAACAGAAAGATATGAAAGAAACTTACATAAGTACATATAAATTTTAAACTCACATAACTGAAGTAGAAAATCTAACCCAATTCGGCAAACAGATGTTTTCAACGGGCAAATCCTTCCAGTGAAATAAGAGCTGTTGTTCTCTTTCAGTACTCAAGTATATTATTGATCTTGTCACAATGCAAGAAGGCAGGTCTGGTGGTTTGAACGAAAATGGCTCCCAAAGGGAGTGGTGCTATTAGGAGGGGTGGCCTTGCTGAAAGTGTGTCACTGTAAGGCAGGCTTTGAGGTCTCATATATGCTCAAGCCATGCCCACTTCCTGCTGCCTGCATAAGATGTAGGACTCTCAGCTACCCTCCAGCACTGTGTCTGCCTGCATGCTGCCTTGCTTTCCACCTTGACAATAATGGACTAAACCTCTCAACTGTACTCGAGCCACCCCAATTAGATGTTTTTCCTTTGATCATGGTGTGTCTGCACAGCAATAGAAATCTTAGCCAAGACAGTAGGCTATCAAAGTTAACTGAAACTATTTATAGTCTATTTTAATTTATATCTAAAAGTTTTCATTTACTTCCTACTTTCAATTCTCTCTAATACTTTCACTCATTAGTGTGACAGGCATAGTGTTTGGGGGGGATAGCACAGATTAGACAGATACATACATACGTACGTACATACATACATACATACATACATAGAGATAGGCAAGCAGACAGGCAGACATACAGACAATATTGTGACAAGCATAATACTTTAAACTTATTAATCATGTGCTTAAGAAATCTGGCTTATCAAGCTGAGCAATGGTGGCACGAGCCTTTAATCCCAGCACTCTGTGAATTCGAGGCCAGCCTGGTCTACAAAGCTCTACAGAGAAACCCTGTCTCAAAAAAACAAAAACAAAAACAAAAAACAAAACATTAAATAAATAAATCTGGCTTATCAGTATCATTTTGAATGTGTTTTATTTTATAAAGCTACACACACAATTTACCCTAGTCATGATCCTGATTCAACACAAAGGGAATTTCTCTAGGGAAGCATAAAGATTGTGTTTTGAGAATAAAGAAGTAGAAAATAAAGACATGAAGAAGGTGGTTAAGGCCCCAGGGTCTAAAAGTAAAAGCCTGGGGGGCCACAGTAGTAATCTCCAAATATGGATGGACAGCTTGGATAAAACCAAGAGGCATATATATTTCTCTAGAATCCTTTTCTGATTTCTTAATTCTTTCACTTTCTCAATTCTTTACCAACAGAAATCACATGGCATGCTGTCATTTTGACACACTATAAACTCTTCAAAGGTATACTACCAAATATGGCTACTGCATAAAATTTAATTTTACCAAAACTAATATTAAACTGTCATTACAATTGTTTATTTCAGGCTGAATGCTTACTTGAACAGTCATGCAACACTGCAATCCTTGCTGCACATGAAGAGGCCTTGTAGACTTTCTAACTGAGCCTGGGGAAGAGGCTTCATACAATACCTAACTAAGCCTGAGGAAGAGGCCTAGTACAATACCTAATTGAACCCAGGGAACAGACAAGTGAGAAAGCAGGGAAAAAGGGTTAAACGTTAAGATTTTAGAAGGAAGCCAAGTAAAGACTGAAATTTAGTGTTTTCTGTGTTTTAAGACTTAAAAACAAACAAAAACTTTTGCTTTTTAATTCTTTCATACATGATATGAAAAATTCTACTTATAAAAATAAGTTAGTAACTTTTCTTTAAGTTGACAAAATCTGTTCAGCCCCTCAGTTGTGCTTCCTGTTGGACAGATGCATGCTCTGATCCCTCCAAGGACTCAGAGAAGACCTCTTACTTGAAGGGAATCAGGACCTACATTCAGAACTGGGTCTCCATCATTGCACTATATTGCTGATAACATTTCCCCAAATGTCTGGTTAATTTGTCTAATAAACATGTACTAAATATCTATCATGTTCCAGGGACCTATTTGGTGATAAAGATCCAAAGGAAAAAAAAAAAAAGATAAAAACTAAGTTACTTCGATGGTGGCACTCGTCTTTAATCCCAGCACTCCAGAGGCAGAGGCAGGTGGATCTCTGTGAGTTTGAGGCCAGCCTGGTCTACAGAGTGAGTTCCAGGACAGCCAGGACAGTTTCGAAGAGAAACCCTGTCTCGAAAAATGAAACAAACAAACAAACAAAAAAACCAAGTTACTTCATATAGATGAATAGATTTGATTTGATTGATTGGTTGGCTGACAGAAGAGTGACCAGTGTCAATAGGGCTAAGCAGACTGATATAAAATATAGATGAGATAACTGGGTCTCTACAGAGAGGATCGTGAGGAAATCCTAAATGGCGAGCAGTAAATGAGGAGGAGGATGAGAGTGAGGAAAGGCATCCCATGCAAACAGACAGAACAGTGACATGAGCAGAGCACAGTAGCTCAAGAGGGCCTGGTGTAAGGCTGGGGATGAGTTACTGGACACAGACAGCAGAATGGGAAGAGGATCATCTCAACAGAGAAGAGATGGCAGCTATAATATAAGGCTAGATATCCATGGCCTTGTCTGCCACACTTAGCAAGTCTAATAATTTATACAGTAAAACCAAATCACTTTGTCCTTGTGATAATTTATACTCTTTCGTATATGGATCATAATCTTTCCAGTGGCTGATGCAATTTCCTGGTCTGGTGGCATAATCAATCAACTTCATTTTAAGCCTTAGTGATAGGGAATGTTCTTCTGTATACATGTTTGTCTTATTGGTTGATGAATAAAACACTGATTGTCCAAGCAGGATGATAGGTAGGACTAGGAGACAAGGAGGATTCTGGGAAGTGTAGGCAGAGAGAAGTCATCATGTGATCCCAGGAAGTGACATAGCTGGGCAGAAACTGCCACTAGCTAACCATAGAGGTCTGGAGGTCTGTACAGACAGGCAGGAAGTGACATAGCTGGGCAGAAACTGCCACTAGCTAACCATAGAGGTCTGGAGGTCTGTACAGACAGGCAGGAAGTGACATAGCTGGGCAGAATCAGTATATAAGCAGGGACAAACAGGAAATTGCCCTCTTCTCTTCAGAGACGCTGAGCCAGCTGTCGTCACGTAGCAGGCAAAGGAGTTGCGGGTTTGGTAAGCCAAGACCATGTGGAAATATATAGATTAGTAGTTATGGGTTAAGAATAAGAAGCCCAAGTCGACAGCCAACATTATCATAACTAATATAGCACCTGCGTGTTTCTTTGGGGCAGAGAAGGGCGGCATGACCTACGGAGTCAAGAAAACCTCACATCACACATTAGTGTTGTCTGTTTACTGTTCATTACTACTTCCAAAAAAGCAGATAATTAGATGAGTTCCTAGTTCTTGGCTTTGTACCCTACAAGGAGTCTCCCTCATATAACTCTCATACTTTAAACTGAGAAGTCAAGATGCTGCTCTGCCTTCTAAAAATGACGTAACATACTTGTGTTTTCCTCTATATCAGAATGTACCTTCCTCTAGCACAGTGACTCTCAAACTGAGGCATCTGGCCCAGCAGTGTTGACATTACCTGGTAACTGGTTAGAAATGAAATTCTTAAAATCATCCTAAGTGAGGTAACCCAGACCAGAAAGACAAATATAACATGTACTCACTCATAAGTGGACATAAAGCAAAGGATAACCAGCAAACAGCCCACAACCCCAGAGCACCTAGGAAACAAAGATGACCCTAAGAGAAACTTACATGGATCTGCCTAGGAAGGGGAAAAAGACAAGACCTCCTAAGTAAATTGTGAGTATGGGGGGGATAGGGAGGAGAGTGGAAGGGGAGAAAGGAGGAGGGAAGGAGAGTGGGGGAAATAGGCCAATAAAAACAAGTTCAAAAAAAGAAGAAAAAGAAATGCAAATTCTTGTATGAAAAAACTCTGGGGGTAGCAGGCTAACAGTCAGTGCTTTAACAAGCTGTCCAGATGACTGCCAGTGAGTGAGAACCTTTCTTTACCGGTGCTTCTCACAGCATCTTCTCTAGAAGATTCATCTGAAGCAGACAGTTCAGAGAAGGACTGGGACAGTTAAACAAGAGGACACAGAAGGACATGGCCAAAGTAACAAAATTTGGGGTTTATTGATTTTTTTTTTTGTTAACTAGTCCGTATTGTTAATACTTTGGAGATTTAAAGATTCTACTAATCATCACTTTTCAATCATCTTAAAGCCAATATGAGACCTGGCATTCCTCGCCGGTATTAACACCTATCACCAGCAAATACTTGGAGCTTATTTAAGCAGTTTGGTCTATTTCATCTATAATAAACAACTGCAGAACAACTGCTTAGCTACATTTATTTGAAAACAAGTATGCTATTAATGCAA